AACATCGATTTCGAGTTTTATTTGTGTTCGAACTCAGAAGTCGAGTATATCCACCTTAAACTCTTGACCCATTGCATAAATGTGCTTTCGCTGTGAAGCAGCTCATGTCGAGCTAACTAGAATGACCAATTCAAGTTAGTTCAAATATGATCCTTGGTGATAGTATGTCAGTTCATTTTATCCGACAGAAACTCACAAAGGCGGTTATTGTACTACGTTACACATCATCGATTCGGTTATCGCCTCGGACGTTGGCTTTTTGTCCTCTTGAAAGGCTTGGTCGTGTGGCAATATTTCGGGAGGTCATAATCCGAGGCATCTCTCCCCCGACCACTCTAAGATTTTGGAGGGAGTACAGACTTCTAACTTCAGCCGAAGGCCATCTCCCAAATTAGTTCTTCAATACAATTATTCAATAATTCTGCTTATGCACACAACTTTACATATTCACTGAAATTCCCGATTTTCTCTTCGACTCTAATTTCAACCTTCCTGTCTTTCTCCTACCGTTCATCCAAATGGGCAGTCAAAGACAACATTCAAAAACCGACGCACAAAAGTACATGGTTAATGGTTGTGCAAATTGAAACTTTACATAGATGTGATTCACACCTGACTCATAAGCGCGTGAGTACTGGTGTTTGAACGATTGGACGAACTAAGGCCTGGGTGCTCTACTGTTAGCTGAAGGATGGTCGGTCAAAGTCAGGGTCGCGATCTCCACGCAACTACAGGTTAGTAACCATGACGTGAATAATGACCAAACCTAACCCTGTCGATTTAGCTAGGCAATCTTTATTCAGTAATTGCAAGGAAGGAAAGTTTCAATTTGTACAACCATTAACCACGCATGTTCGTGCGCCGGTTTTGGTTGCTGTCTTTTAACTGCCCATAAGGAAGGAAAATGGTTGCTTCTATTTAACAGTTAAATCGATCTTGCGCAACCCAGACCACCTTTTCATGGTACTCATTTGCAGAAACCACAACACGTTCCGTTATTATTTATCATCCTTGAGTTACCCGAGCCTGGTGACCCCCGTCCCGCCCTGTGTTTCTCAATTTTGTGCCGCGCAAACGGCCATTTCTTCTGTTCACTTCTCCAGACGGAAGCATGCCTAGGCACCTGCAACATTGTTATGATCTTGATAATCTCCACACATAAGTGAACTCTCAAACCCCAGCAANTCAAAAGATTCTATTCTCACCATATTCTCGTTTAAAATAAATGATATTTTTCGTTGCATTAACTTGCTCTTATAATTTTATCTTTATTGCTGTGCATGTATCTTTTTACGCTCAGAAACCATCATCTTTATTTCTATCCCTTTTTTGTATTGTTTTGAAATTTCAATAAAACGGCAGCAATAATGGACTCATTCTTCTCTGAACAGCACCATGTGAAATTGCCATCATTTGAAACCCTGTGATGGTTGCCAACGTTTTCGCTCTTCATGTTACGATTCGGGTTTTTCCCATGTATTTCGCCGATTCATAAATGTTCTATTTTCTTGCTAATGCATCACCCACTTGTATCTCATCTAAAGGTGTGGCTCNAATTTTTGTCACGCCATCGTTCCTCTGCCAGTGCTGTCGAGCACAGATCGTGTTTGAACGAAGAATCAGGTCCTACGAAAGTAGTTCCCATGGAGTTTAGACACAAGGATTTAACCGCGAACTCACCGGATCCATCTGTGGTTAATGAAGATTCATCCGATGCGGTCAAGCGGCGATGTACATTAAAGACTGTCGGTGTTAAACATTCTGACGCACTCGGAAGTGAGATGGCTCATGTAGACCCTCGCGGAAAAGATATGATCATATTTTGCTCGAAATCGGATTGCGATAAAGCATATCATCTGGGCTGTTTGGATATAGACAGTCCCCCGTCAGGTTAGTGGAATTCGTTAATTGCATTGGGGGCACTGTGTTCTTGTGTTATTTGTACGGTGGAAGCATTGGGAATTGTATTGTGCTATTCGAGATGCGCTCTACCGTTTTTTCAACTGTGTAATCTCATAATCCTTTTGTTGACGAAATGGATAATCACCGTTTTCTGTTTACTTTACCCTTGTACATCTTTGTTTTCCCACTCCAATGTTGACGGATGGGAAAAATTCCGTCCATCCGCAAACTGCTTCTAAATGCAAAGTGTACTAACATGGTCACACTGGAATACCAATTTTGCGTTTCATCAAAACCGGTGTCTACTGACTATTGTACTGAGCTTCCAACCGAGTTGACCCTATTTATTTATTTAACTTTCAAAGCTGTGAACTGCTAACATACTGTGCGGAATGCTGATATTCACTTTAAATTCAGCGAGAACTACGATGTTGGTTTCCTGGAAGCGGTCCTTCAGGAATTTCGGGGATTCGATGGATAAAGCCTATCTGGCGCATGCATCATTGTTCTTGTCTGAAAGTAACATGATTATCACTCAAAAAGTTGTAGCATTAGAAAGATGACTGAACAACACTAAACGACAGAGTCAGAAGCGATGCTGATAACAACGACTTCCATGGGAGTAATGGTTCACCAAGTTGCTATTGATTTTAAGTGATCATCTCTTGATTTCATTTCCATGCACAATCCCACAGTAATCATACACTCACGACGAGTTGTAGTCAAGTTTCTATGTTTCTTATCAATGAGATATATTTATCAGCCTATCCAAGATGTAATCTACTAGTATTGAAGGTGTGGATGCAGTAAAACTGTGCCCAACAGCTGAAACCGGAGTCACTCGCATTCGTGTAT